TGAATTGTGGGGACCAACAAAATGGTCACAACATTTGGCTAACGTATGGTTTACTGATGATTCATCAACCACTGATGGAACCAAAACAATGAAAAGCAGCAGCCTATAGACCTGGGATGGAATGGCCAATACTGTGGAAGGAACCACAAAATCAGCACAGCACTCTTGGCCATAAGACAAACAACTTGGATTGCAAAAGGAAAGTATCTATCTTCTTCAATTTATGGTGCGTATGCTACTATATGGTCATCAAAATGGATAAGGTTAGTGGAAGATCAATGGCAAAGATATATGGTCATGGGAGGCATGAATAGAAATGGCAACACCTAGCAAAACTTAACAAAGACATCAAATTTCATGTAGCTTATACAGCAAGACACAAAACTTCTAAAAATAATGGAATAGGGGACAATTTGGCATCATGTTTAAGACTAGACTATGAAAATTGTTCAGGGAACAAATTCAGAATAATTTTCAGCAAGAATGATAGATTATACATTCAAAAAACTCAAACATTTACCCCTAACACTAAAAAATAAGAGGACATGGAGGACCAAATTAAACCAGGACAACCATATAAAAATAATGACTATACAATTCAGCCACTCCTGATGAGACCTAATTGACTAGGATCAGAAGGAAGGAAAAGAAGTCCTCCCCTATCAGTGGACTTGGGGAGGGGCATGCATGCAGAGGGTGGAGGAAGGAAGGGATTGGGACGGGAGGAGGGAGGGAACCACGGAGGAGAGGGGGGATACAAAGTGTAATTAATAAAGAAAAAAATAATGACTATAAGAGATCCACAGCCACGCAGTGGTTCACCCTCTTAATCCCAGCACTTGGGACACAGATGGCTTTAGTTCCAACACCTGGGGGCCAGCAACAGACACACAAGAATCACTGTGATCTAAATTTAAACGCCACTTGCTAAAGGCAGGCTGATATTCAAAGTGTCCTTTTGTGACCTAAAAAGCAATACACTTAAACCTTGAATATAATAAAGAGAGAGGGGAATATAAGTATATTTATCCACATATACCAAGATATATTTAGTTTCAATTTTTCAAAAGAATCATTATTTTTTATTTCAATTGAGAGATAGTACTTTTTCTGTTGCCAAAAAACATTTTGCCCTAGGAAACATATAACCTGCCAAAAAAAAAAAAAAAGAACCCCAGAGTTAGGGTTGGGGCAGGGTTTTGCTTTTATTTTTCCAGGAAAATAAAAGAACTCAACTAAGGAATCTGGAGACCACTGGTCAAATAAAACATCTAAAGAAAAAAAAAAACGGATCATCAAGAGAAAATGCCCCCCCCCCAAAGTAATTGGCCACATGGCATTGCCCACCTCCAGCTTATCTCTGCTGCCCTCTACAGACATAAGTGGCAAATGGTCTTATGTGTTCCCAATTCAATTAAAAATTAAAGCTGGCTTTGGGGTTGGAGAGTAGATTTTTCTTCTCTAAACCCATGCATGCTTGTTAAAGAAAAATCCAAAATTTCTGTCTCATATCAGAAAATTCAGCTGGTATGAAACAGAGAAAAACAAAAAATAAGGGACTATTCTATTACCACTAAAAGCAGGTTGCAGAGATAGCTCAAGAACACTGTCTGCTCTTCCAGAGGTCCTGAGTTCAATTCCCAGCAACCACATGGTGGCTCATAACCATCTATACTGGGGTCTGATGCCCACTTCTGGCATGCAGGTGTACATGCAGGCAGAGCATATATACATAAAATAAATAAATCTATTGCCACTAATCTCATAATCTTTTGCTTTTCATTTGACTCTTTAAAACTTTTAAGATATAAATATTATTGCCTAAGATGATTATATATATTTAAACTTTCATAATACTAGTAGTCATACAGAGTATTGACTAGTTCTAGAAATAATCTTCATCTATCTTTCTGTATGTGCTTTAAGGTCTGAGTCTGAAGCAGTTAACTAGGAACAAAGTTTGTGTACCTTGGATGTACTCAATAGACTGTGGCCCTCACACCTTTCTGAGACCTGCTGAATATGGTATTTAATATGTTTAAATTAGCTGGGCGTGGTGGTGCATTCCTATAATCCCAGCACTTGGAGAGTCAGAGGCAGGCAATCTCTGTGAGTTCAAGGTCAGCCTGCTCTACAAAGTGAGTCCACAGAGAAACCCTGCCTTGAAAAACAATAAATAAATAAATAAATATTTACATTTTCTACTCTTTTTTTAAAAAGATTTATTATGTATACAATGTGCTGTCTGCATATACACCTACATGTCAGAAGAGGGCACCAGATCTCATAGTGGTCATGAGCCATCATGTGGTTGCGTGGGAATTGAACTCAGGACCTCTGGAAGAGCAGCCAGCGCTCTTAACCTCTGAGCCACCTCTCCAGCCTGCTTTCTACTATTCTTAATAGCAACTTTTGAGGTCTCTAGGAAAATGATGGGGACCTATAACGATGAATCCACCCAGACCGTGGTAATGATAACCACAGGACAAAACTGCTCCATGTCTCTTCTGCTGCCAGGTTCTGCACAATTAGTGGACACCTGGGGTTGACTGTGTGTTCTGCCTAGCCAGGACTGCCACTAAGCTGACAAACACTAAACTTCAGACTAAAAACTGCTCAGGACATTAAAACATTTTATAGAACTTTGAACTCAAAAATACATAATCCTAAGATTGCCAAATACAACCAAGCTGGACATTGTGGAAAGCTTAGCAGAAATAGCTTCATTATTATGAATAGTTTTACTGTGTTAGAGTTAAAATCTTTCCTTTTTATTCAGACACAAAGGGGAAAATGTTGCAGGATACTGGATCACATTATGAACCCTGAGATTGTGTTGTTTACTGGAAAAACCTCTTTATAGTTGAGTGGCCCTAGCACACACCTTTAATCCAAGACAGGATTAAATAAAGTCAACCATAGGTCAAGAGGCAGAGCAAGCAACCAGTTGACAGGGAGTAAACATAGGAAAACAATAACAACAACAACAACAGAAAAACAGAGTAAGTGGAAGTCAGGAGGATGGATAGGGAGACACGAGAAGTAGAAGGGAGGGACATTTAGTTTGAGAAGTTTTTTTGAACAGTGTGGGGAAAGCTCTGGCTTTTTGGGACATCAGTTGAAGAAGAAGGTCAGCTGGGTGCTTTCTCTGACTCTCTTGAGCTAGCAGGTTTCCAACCTAGCATCTGGCTCCCAAGTCTTCATTGGTAAAATCAAATGATTGAGATTTTGCTAAAAACAAGCACCCCTGCACAGAGAATATCTTGTGTATTGTACAGATGCATCACCTGTAAATTAAAACGGCCTATAGGAAAGAACAGAGGGTAGAACATCCAGTAGGCAGAAAGGATTCTGGGATAGAGCCAAGAATGTGGGAGATTCACCCAGGAAGACATGAGGACAGATCCATGGTACCTGGGCAAAGGTAACCAGCCACATGGCAGAATTTAAGATTAAAATAAATAGGTTATTAAGTTATGCACTAATCAGGGACTATGAGCCTAGCTCTATGGCCTAGGTATCTATAATTATATTTTGATTCTGAGTAATTATTCCAGCACCTTGGGGCTTCGAGAAAAAAAACAGGCAACACATCTCTACCTGAATATGTCTGACAGGCACAACTGACCTAGTATGAACTCTTTGCCCCTAATCAAGGCTTCCCCTAGTTATCTCCAAGCAACTGTTCACAATCCCAAATCAGGGAGTTGTCTTCCAGATCTCACTTCCCACAGCTAAACCATGACCCAACAGTCCTCCTTCCCAAATATCAAGACCCACCACTTATATGTCGATGTCATGACATAGATGTCTCCCTTTTCTCTTGTACCCCCCAGGAACCTCATAATCTGTCCATGCAGCTATTTTGCCCCCTCAGTCTACACTCTGATTCCCCTCTTCCCAGCTCAGAAAAGTCCTCGTCCCTCCTCAAGGCTTTAAGTTCACACCACTCTGTTCCTACTCATCACCATGTTTAAATCCAGGTGGAATGCCCTCTTCCCTGTCACATGCTTGGCTGCTTCTTGCCACTCAGGCCTAAGTAAGTGGCTACATATCCAGGAGCTGAGCGGCAGCCCTCCTACCTGCACTCTCACCAGTCCTACTCACTCTTCTGCACAGCAGTTTCCAGAGTTGTCTCACTTAAATGTCTTCCTCACAAGCAGACAAAAGGTAAATACTGCCTGAACTAGAAAACTCATATGGGCTGGAGAGATGGCTCAGCGGTTAAGAGCACTATCTGTTCTTTCAAAGGTCCTCAGTTCAATTCCAAGCAACTACATGATGGCTTATAACCATCTGGTGCCCTCTTCTGGCCTGCAGGCAGAATAGTGTATACATAATAAATAAATCTTTAAAAAAAGAAAAAAGAAAACTCCCTTGCTCACTTGCCCAACAGGCTCCAGCTTTTAAGCATGTGATAAGTAGAAAGATACTTCAAATGAACTAAACTCACTCTCTCTGCAGAACCACATGTAACCCTGAAAACCAGAAACTCAGTACTGTGGATTGCATTTTCTTTTCTTCAATAGTTGACAGAAACGGTTTTCATTTGGCGTGCACATTCCAACCACTGGAAGAAGCCCCCAGCATTCTGGTGTAATAGTTGCAGCCACAATGGCGAGATGAATCTCAGTCTCAAACATCAGAAGCTAAGGTCAGACCCAAGCCCCTGATGCTTTACTCTACAAATTGACTCCCTTCCCCCACAAAACAAAACCTCCACCTGTTCAGGTCAGGCCTCAAGGCCAAGAACAGATCATAAAACTGAACCTTGACACTCAATATCTTCATTAAAACCCACAAAACTTACTGTGAAGGGCTCAGACAGAAAAAACCACAGTCAAGGTCGCACAGCTTCAAAGTAACTAAAAGAGTGAACATCAAGGCCACGGCCCAAACCTCTGTGTGACCACTGCGGAGCACGGGGGACATCCCTATATGGACCGTATGACACTGGTGCCCCGTGAAGACTGTGCACTCAGCCCTGACCAAGGCCTTACCCGGGCTGAACAGCTGGGCCCAGAGGCGCTGGTGATCCTGAAGCAGCTCTGAGGCAGGCATTTCCAACAACTCCAGCATTTCCTTCCGTGCCATGTCCTGCAGCGCCTTGAGCTCCTTGGTTCCTTTGCTTTTGAGCACCTGAGGGTGCATGGGACCAGAGACATGCACCACCCACAGCACCATCTCGTCCAGCTGCGTCTTGGGAGCCACCTGGAGTCTGTTCACTAACTTCTTAGAGGCCACCACTACCAGATGCACCAGCCCTGATGGAAGGGGTGTGGACCGGCCCGAGTAGAGAAGGAACTGATGATCTCCGACCTTCTCCAGGGTGCTGGTGAAGGACTTGGGGACAGGGGCCGCGGTGGGTCCCACAGTCTGCAACGCAGCCACGCGCTCCGTAGGATTGTTGAGCTGGATGCGCTGCAGATAGACGTGGGGTCGGCCTCGGTGCGCCAGGAAGTCCTCTTGAAGCAGCACGCAGTCACGGCCCGACCCCGCGGAGAGCCCGGAGGCCGAGGCGGGCCCAGGGACACCAGCGACGGGGCCCGAGCCCGGGGTCCCTAGCTGCAGGCAGCGCACTCGGCGCAGCAGGCCCTCCCGCAGCAGCAGCACCGCCTCACCAGCCTCGGCCAGCACATTCAGCGGGCGTAGCTGCACGAAGGGCACGAAGTCCGGCGTCACGGCAGGCTCCCGCTCTCCGGGCGTCACCCACAGCTTGTTGTGGGCGGCGTCCAGAGCCAGAAAGCCGTTGGCCACTAGGGCTGGCACCCCGGGGCCCAGCGGCACTGCCTCGCCGCGATCACGCAGGCTGCGCCACGCGCGGGTGGCCGCCTCCAGGCAGGCGGACGGCTCGGCGGCGCCCGGTTCGCTGCGGGCCCAGGACGGCAGGTGCAGGCCGCCCGCCGCCCGCCGCGCCCCGGAGCTCGCGAACCACAGGAGGAGCAGCAGGAGGCCGAGGAGGCAGAGGAGGCGGCGGGCCCAGCTGCTCGACAGCAGCCCCGGTAGCCCCTTCAGGCGCTGCTGCAGCCACATCGGGCCCGCCGCCCAGCCTGCCCGCCCGGCCGCCGCCGCTCACTCCCCGGCCCGCGTCGCCGCGCCCACCTCGACGCCCGCCGCAGCCTCCCGGGCAGCCACCGCCGCAGCCACCGCCACCGCTTCCTTCTTCTTCTCGTCGCTTCCTAGCCGTCAAACGCCGCCGGCCCGTAAAGTGTCGCTGAGTCTTTTGCGACATATGGAAAAGAGGCCAGGGGCGGGAACCGGCAGAGAGGCGGAGTCTCTCTGGGGGTGTGGTCGTGACCCTCGGGGCGGGGCGAGGGAGAGGGACCGGGAAAGGCGGCAGGAAAGTGGAGGGTTAGGCCGGGGTCCAAATCGCTGGTAAAAAAAAAAAAAAAAAAAAAAGGGGGGGGGGAGAGAGAGAGAGAGAGAGAGAGGGGAGAGGAGAGCTGGGGAAAGGCGGAGAGAGAAGAGAAGGAAGGGGAGAAAGAGAGAGAGAGAGGGGAAGGAAGGGGAGAGAGAGAGAGAGAGAGAGAGAGAGAGAGAGGAAAATGACAGGGCAAGCCAAACCCAACATGTGTTGCGCCTCATTTGCTGCTGATGATTTCAACAGCCCTGAAGTTAAAAAATAAAAAACGTACTGTTTCTGTAAAACTATTCCTAACTGACATAAGCCTGTTTCTTTAGTACACCGAGTCGTTCTCTTGATGTCGATCTTGAGTTTTAGCTCGTCAAATAACACGATTAAAATCTCTTACTTTGACAAGGCCTGCTGCATCCACCTGGGGGAAAAAAAATCGGCTGGAGCCCCAGAGCAGACAATGGGCGATTGTTTCCATTTTGGAATCTGGGCAGTCCAGAACCAGACAGGCAGTTGCAAATTCACAGTTGGCAATTAAAAGGTCACTCGAGGTGGCTTCTTGTAGGCTAAGCAGACAGAAAACTGTTTGCTGGGATTGTGAGCCAGTGTACCATTGGAAGAATGCTCATCCTGTTTTGATTTTATTTGATTTTTGTTTTATTTATCTTTGAGACAGGATTTCTCTTGTGTTGTCCAGACTGGACTTCAAACAACTCCTGGGCCCAAGAGACCCTCCTTTCTCAGCATCCCCGCTTCTAGGATTAAAAGCATGCATGCAGCTTTTACCCATTTTTACTTTCACACAAAAATCAATGCTAACAAACAGGCGGTGGTGGCACATGCCTTTAATCCCAGCAACTCAGGAGGCAGGTGCAGGTGGATCTCTGAGTTTGAGGCCAGCCTGGTCTACAGAGTGAGTTCCAGGACAGCCAGGGCTACACAGAGAAGTCCTGTCTTGAAAAACTAAACAAACAAACAAACAAACAAAAGACAAAGCAACCTCAAAGCACAGTTTTAGCCAGGTATTGTACACATGCCTTTAATGCTACTCTTTTAGAGGCAGACACAGGAGGATCTTAGTGTGTTCAAGACCAGCTGGCTCCACAGTGAGACCTTATTTCAAAGAAAAAATAAATAAAACCACACTTTTTGCTGGCAGGGTTTTATCTCAGTGCAGAAACTTTCCTAGTATGAGTGATTCCCCCAGAACCTCCAAACTAAAATAATCCAAAAATGGGGCTGGCAAGATGGCTCGGCAGGTAAAAACACTTGGCAGGAAGCACGATGACCTGAGTTCAGTTCTCAGCACCTACATGGGGGAAGGCGGCGAGAACTGGCACCTTCGTAGGTATAGTGTTGTATAAAGTCAGAAGATGGTGTGGGATCCCTGGAGCTGGAGTTACTGGCACTTGGGAACCGCCTTATGTGCGGTGCAACTGCCAAACCATCTCTCCAACCCCACTTTTTAATTAAAAAAAAGTTATTGTGTGTGCAGGTGAGCATGGTGTGTGTGTGTGTGCTCAAAGTACACAAGGTCAGGGACAGTTCAGGAAGCTGGCTCTTCCTTGTCCTTTACATGAGCTCCAGGACTCACTCAGATTGGCAGGCCTTTGAAGCAAGCAAGCTTTACCTGCTGAGCCATTTTCCTGGCCCTCCATTCTATTTCTTGAGACAGAGTCACTGAACCTAGAGCTAAAGGATTCTGCTAGACTGATTGGCCAGTGAGCCCCAGAGAAGACCCTCCTGTCTCTACCTCCCCAATGCTGGAATCGTAGTGCACACCACTGGGTCTAGCTTTTGTTTTTGTTTTTTGAGACAGGGTTTTTCTGTGTAGTGTTGGCTCCGCTGGACTTGCTTTCTAAACCTGGCTGGCCTGGAACTCACAGTGATTAGCCTGCCTCTGCCTCCCTGAGCGCTGGGATTACAGACATGGGGGCCCAGCTTGGGTCTAGGTTTTGAATGAGTACTGGAGACCAAACTCAGGTCCTCCACTGAGCCCTCATCTTAGCCCCATGAGTATCTTTGCTACAAATACTGGTGTAGTTGACGTATGTCTTGGCCTACTTCTGTGCAGCATTTCTTGGGAAGCAGTTCATTAAGACATTTTCCTAGGTTAAACGCTTATTTATTAGAGATGCTCCTAAGTCCTAGTCATCTTCAAATACCCCAAGGCATGGGCCTGGGAGTGCTCACAGGCAAGTGTTGGTCACATAGCCACAGTGAGGCCCTGGGGACATAATGAGTTCTACTCTTGGCCTGACCCTTGCTAGCAAGTCAACTGATTTCTAAGGGCCTCGGTTTCTCTACCCATAAAATAGGTGTCTATCATAAGATAAAGTAGGTTTGCTCTGAGACAAACTGGAGAAGTGCTTGAAGCTTCAACACACTGCCTGGCTTACAGCTCAGCACCAAGGAGTCATCTTTCCTCCTGAGGACACAGCCCTGGTGCAAGCAATGTACTTGCTTCTAGGGTATTTACTTAAAGAAAAAAAAAAACTGAGAAAAGTCTACTATTCTATTGGGGCTAAATGCCAGCGTGAAGTGACTGTCCCACTGAGGCTGTGGCTCTTCAAAGGTCAACAAAGGAAAATGGGGAGAGGGGGTATAGTGGCGAGACAACAGGAAGAAAACACACACACACACACACACACACACACCCTTCCCTATTTGCAGTTGCCCAGCACTTTCCTAATAGAGTACTGTGCCTTTAACAGTTCACAGCACGTGTAGCACGTAGGAGAAATACTAGAAGCAACATCTGGGCAGCAGCCACCACTTCTGCTTAAAGAGACAGGCCATCCTAATGAAGCTTGGACCGGGTTCAAGTTCTAGCAATTCGGTGAAACAAACAGGAAACAGATACTAGAGGAGCAAGGTCAGGCTTTGCAAGAGTGAGCTCTTCCTCCGGAAGAGGCAGGCAGTCTCTAAAACTGATCCCTCTTTTAATTTAGACCCTGGAAACAGCCCAGGAATGTTTTCTATCCAGGGAATATCACTCATGAGAGCTCCTTGGACTCTGGCAGATATGCAGTTCTAGCTGGGCTCTGTCTGGTGCTTCCTTACTGTGGTGCCGAATCAGGTGTGTGGTGCCAAGCCGATGCTTCTCTGAGCCTCAATTTCTCCTTTTGCAAATGAAAGCAAACTGCCTGGCTAGAAAGGCAGGTAAGAGCATACAGTGAAGAGCTTTGAAAACTGAGCCAGGCAGCAGAGCGTGGTGGCACAAGCCTTTAGTCCCAGCACTCCAGGCAGAGGCAGGCAAATGTCTGTGAGTTCAAGGCCATCCTGGACAGGAGGACAGCCAAGGCTACACAGGAAAACCCTATCTTGCGAAACCAGAAAGAAAAAAAGAAAAGAAAACCAGGCAACACAGGTTGGATGGTTCTTCCTCCCTTCAAGCTTGTATTCCCCCCTCCAAAGGTTTGGGATCTCGTCCTCAGCCTTCTGAGTCCAAAACACCCAGTGGATGCTTGGTGCCAGGGCCTGTCCTCAGCCGCAGCAGCTTCCAGCCCCAGGTCCCAGCTGCAAATGGTCTACATTCTGCAGCGGTCTTGTCCTCTGGTGACCTTGAGCTTGCTGGCTAGTCTTGGGCCTCACTTCTATAACCTGCGAGAGGAGTAACCCTCTGCACAATGAGATAGACTCCAGCTTTCCAGCCTGTTCTCATTTTTCAAAAAGGATACGTGGCCTTCGATATCCTATGTCTTTCTAAAAAAAAAAAAAAAAAAAAAGCTGGGTGCAGTGGCACAAGCCTGTAATCCCAGCAACTCAAGGAGGCAGAGGCAGGTGAATCTCTGTGAGTTCGAGGCCAGCCTGGTCTACAAAGTGTGTCCAGAACAGCCAAGGCTACACAGAGAAACCCTGTCTTGAAAAACAGAAAGAAAGAAAGAAAGACACCACCGCCACCAACAACAACAAACAAACAAAAAAAAAAAAAAAAGAAGAACTATCCAGAAATAATGTCATACAAATGTTGTGTAAATTTTGTACATTTTTAAAATATCACATCCTGAAAACAATCACTGGAAACAAATATTTGTCTGAAATTTTCTTTTTTTTTTTTTCATGGTGGAGGATGCTGTTAGGGTCCTATGAAGTTATGCTGGCCTCAAACTAGCTGTATGCCTGAGCATGTCTTGAACTCCTGATCCTGCTTCTACCTCCTTGGCTGTGACACCTGGCCTTTTTTCCTGACAGAGTATGACTGCGAAGCTCAGGCTGGCTTTGGACAAAGGACCTCCTAGTTCCATACCTCATCCTACCCCACCCAGCATTGTTTTTCTTTGTCCTCAAGGCCTAGAATCTGTCTTTAACAAGTGAGTCTTACTGAAGAGACAGCCTTCCCCACTCAGCTTAGGTATGTGTTTCCTTCCTGACACAGCAGCACCTGTGAAAGACTGCTTCTCCCCAACTCCCTGACTCCTTCAAGCTCCTTCCCCCAACCCTGCCCTAGAGTCTAATCTGTGGGAAAGAGGCTCCAGGATTCAGGTCTGAGCTCTCTTCCACGGCTTGGCAGGCTTTTGTCCAGATGTGGATGTGCTTGGCTGACATCTGGACCAGAAGCCCTTGCTCCAGAAACCTTTGATCAGTTTTTACTTTGGTTGTCTGTAAAAAGGACTAAAAATTTTTCACTCCATCCATCCATCCATCCCCCCATTCCCATCTACCCACCCACTTACCCATCCATCCATCTACCCACCCACCCACTTACCCATCCATACAATTACCCATTTCCCCCACATCCACTCACTGATCCATCTATCTCCTCCCCCCCCCCCCCCCCCATCCCACAATTAACCAGTGAAGCAAGACTATCCTTGACTCTTTTCAGACTGTCCTCCCAGGGCCAGAAATTAAGTTATTCCCTTTTGAGAGCCAAGGCTAGACTTCCTTTTCTTTTCAAAGACTTATTTATTTATTTACACAGTATTCTGGTACATGTGTGCCTGCACGCCAGAAGAAAGCGTCATATCTTATTATACATGGTTATGAGCCACCGTGTGGTTTCTGTGAATTGAACTCAGGACCTTTGGAAGAACAGTCAGTGCTATTAACCCCTGAGCCATCTCCCAGTCCCCCCAGATTTTCTATAGTTCCAGCCTCCGCAGGGGTCAATCCCTCTGTCCAACACAGGCTCAACCGCTCACCTCTAGTATATGCAGAAAGCATAAAGAAAATGAAATCTTGCCGGGCGCGGAGGCGCATGCCTGTAATCCCAGAACTCAGAAAGCAGACACAGGAGAATAGTTGTGAGTTCAAGGCCAGCCTGGTCTGCACAGAGAAACTCTATCTCGAAGAACATTAAAAAAATAAATCTCTAAGAGCTAATCTGAGGTGCCCTACAGATCCCACCATTTCTGTGCAGATTCCAGTAATATAAGGCCCGTTCTTCTAGACACCGTGGCTTCTCCTGCCTTTCTAGCCCACTTCTTCCTCTTGGTAACGTTGCAGCACTTGACAAAGAGGAGAGCATGGGAGGGCCGGCAACAGGACCCAGGAATCACAGTGACCTGCCCCAGTGGAGGATCCTCAGGTTTAGGCAGGAAAACCCTTCCCCGGGGCTGGCGGAGGAGCGCGCGGCACCGCCCCCGGGGCGGGCCCAGTGCGTGGCAGCCCCCGCCAGCCCAGTCGCGAAGTTTCCAGTTCAGCTTGTGTCTCGGTGCCGGCGGATCGTCCCCAGACCCGGCTATGCGGCCCCTGCTGCTCCTGGCCCCGCTGGCCTGGCTCCTTCTGGTCCAGGCGAAGGACGACACCAAGCTGGAGGGTGAGGGCACGGTTGGGGAGCGGTGCCGGGCCGCCTCGCGGAGGACCGGGGTGCCGGGTGTCCAGGCGAGCTGGGCTGGGAGGGCGGGGGAGCTGGGTTGCGTTCATTAGTCCACTTGCCCGCGGGTGACTCCGACAGATCACTTCCTCTCATGGGGCCGTGATTCCTACGTGTGTGCTGCGGGCAGGAGAAGAGACAGCCGAAGTACACCCCCATACCACCACCCTATTCAGCGCTCAGAGGAGCTCCTGATAACAATTCCCTTAAGTAGCAAGGCTCCGGTTTGTAACGTAGCACGACCTGCTGCAGCCTGGCCTCACCAGTTAAGCACTTTTGCGACTCTGGAAGGGTTTCCTTGTTTTCCCCATTTTCCAGCTTCAGAAACTGAAGCTCCGGAGTTGCTTGATTTCCCCAAGGGCACACAGCTTGTGGGCATTGGAAATGGCTTCATCGTCCCCCTCTCCTGGGTGTGTCTGGTTCCAGAGCCCAGGTCTGAGCTCCTGTTATCTTTAGGATGAGATTAGAGTGAAGGAGCAGCTGAAAGTGCTTGGTCCTGGGTCCCCTGGACTCCCAACCTAGTGCTCATTCCCTGGGTTTCCTAACGGTGTCCCACTCTTCTGAGTGGGTGGGGACTCCTGTCCTCCCAGCCCTTGCTGGACTGGACGGCCCCCAGTACTGCTGTCTGAGTCCCTGAGACAACCCCCTCCCCCAGGAGGACAGACTGTGGACCACACAGACAAGTAAAACCAAATGGGCCACACTCTCCAGGGCATCCTGTTCCCCTCTGCCCATCCTGCTAGAGGACATGGGACCTGACCTGGACATGGTGGGTGGTAGGAGCTGGGATCTGGTGGGTGGGAGAAGCAGCCCTGTTGGTGAGAGCGCTTGCCCAACTTGCTTGCAGCTCAAGGTTCGATACCCCAACACCACGTGTTATTATCCCATTCTCAGTAGAGATTGGGGCAGGGTCATCAGAAGTTCAAGGTCATCCTTAGCTACATAAAGAGTTGAGGTCAGTCTAGGCTACGTGAGACCCTGACTAAAAAAAAGAATAAAGGAACCTGGCTTTGGGAGCCACGTGCTGGGAACCACAGATTTTTGCTTGCCTGCCGCATCTGTGCTAAGTCATACACAAGGCCACACGCCTCCCACTGGTAACCTTGATGATGCACAGTCTTTGAGAAGCTCAGTATTCTAGACCTCAATGCAGGGTAGCGATACCTCATTCCTAGAGATCATGAGAGATGCCTCAGATGAGGTCATTCCCCAAGTCCTCCCCTTAAATTCCAGACACTCACCATTTTCTGTCCAGGCTCAGAGCAGCGACTTTTTCTGGAGGGTCTAATCCAGCAAGGCAGGGAGACAGATCACAGGGTTGGTAATGTGTGCAAAGGGCCTGGGGTCCTCCCACTGGCCGGAGGAGCCTGCAGCTCTGTGGTAAGCCACCCCTTCTCCATCTCCCTTTCTCCTGCTTCTGCATGCCCTACTCCTCAGCATCCCACTTAGAACAGCCTCAGCTGCCCTCTGGGAAGCCCAGAGTGGGGAGTCAGAGATGGACCCTGCTGACCCAGCAGTGCCAGGGGAAGGGCAGTGCCTGAGGGTGCACAGCTCCCTCTCTTGGAAGGGTACCCCTCTGGGCCAGGCATTGAGGCATCACCTGACCCACACTGACACCAGATACTCCTTGAGTCCTCACAGTGATCTCTGAAAGACGGCTCCTTTATCCTGCAGTTCCTATGGTGCAGTTGAAGAAACTGAGGCGTGAGGAGGCTAAGTTGCTTGCTGAGCCATCTGTCCTCACCATTTTGTCCTAGCGCCTCTCTTTCATCTCTGCAGACTTGGGTCACGGTTTGTCCATCTAGGGAAAGCATTGCTGGACTTTGGGCAGCAGGTGGGAGGACCGAGCTTTCAGGGTGCCAGGCTCATGTGGCCCTGGCCCTGGTGGCTGTTGAGCAGACAGAACAGGCAGCGGGGGTGGGGATGGGAGGGGGGTGGTATCCTGGTGCAACCCAAGCCTGGTGTTGAGACTGTGTGGGTAGCCCAGAGCTCTGATGGGCCTGAGAGTGGGCTGGATACCTGGGGGAGCCTGAAGAAGGCCCAATAATTCTAGATTCTATCTTTGGTCCAGTGTTCTACTATGCTGGGTGCTGTGGCAGGTTAGGAGTGTGGCTGGGCCTGATGGTGCACGCCTTTGATCCCAGCGCTTGGGAGGCAGAGGCAGGTGGATCTCTGTGAGTCTGATGCTAGCCTGATCTACAGAGTGAGTTCCTGGACAGCCAAGGCATATACTGGGCCTAGGATACTCTTCTTGCCTCCCTTTTGGTAAGAGGGCCTCAGAGCTGGTGACTGGCTGTCCTCATCTTCAGGGAGACTTAACATTTCAGGCAAGAGTTGGAGGCAGCCCTTCCCCTCAAGTGAACTGCAGCTTTCTTCTCTGAACCCCAAGGGACAAGTGGGGGAGGTTACTCCTTCACAGCTCTTTATGGCATCATCTGCTCCTGCCCAGGCCCCTGAGCCCACCCTGCTGGGTCTTGCCAATCCCTGCTTGATCGCTTGGTCGGCCCTCTGGCTCTGATCCCGTCTAGGGACAGCCTCCTGCCTACACAGCCTCAGCCAGCTTGGGAGAGCTGGCCCCCTTTGTTCTCTCAGCTCACACTCCTGATGCCCAGAGATAGGGGAAGTGGGGGGGAGGGTCCTACCTGCCTGCTGGTGGCCTGGCTGGTTTTAGTTGTTGTTTTCAAGTGTGTATGTGTGTGGGGGTGTTCTGTTCACATGCAGAGGAGCCATAACAACCCCTGAACAGTACAGGCTTGTCCCCCAGCCTCCCTCCGAGGGCAGAAGTCTGAGTGGGAATCACAGGGGTTGACAGTGGGGAAGGGGAGAGGTCCTATTAGGCCTGGCTCTGACATTCTTGGCAAGCAGGACGGAAGCCAGCCGCAAGACTCAGGCTGAAGAAGAGCATACACAAACCATAGAATGAGTCCACCCACTGGCCACACAGAGCCGTGAATACTGGGCCAGGCTTTCCCCTCACTGGTTCTCCTCACTGACTTTTCTCAGTGTGTGCCAAGTGTCTGGCAGCCCTGAAAGGCGGGCACTTTATTGTCCCTATGGCATAAGGGAAAAACTGAGCCTCAGAGAGGCCAGGGACTTACCCTGGGTCACAGAGTTACCTTAGGATCTAAATAGGCATTACAGCCTCATGTGGGACTGAGAGGAGCTGCTGGGGGGCTCCCACAGACGCTGTGTTGAGAACGGCTTCTAGCACCTTCTTTTGCAGAGGTGAAGTCCCTTTTGAGAAGGTATTAACAAAGCCAGGCATGTTGAATGTGGTGGCGCATGCCTGGAATCTCAGCGTTCAGGAGTGGAGGTAGGAAGATGAAGAGACAAATTCAAGGGCAGCTTTGTTACCTGTTGAGCCTGGTTCACATGTGAACCCTTTTCGAAATGAGAGGAAGGGAGAGGGAGGAAAGGTGGTACCAGCTGTGACATGGACAGATTGGGTGGGATGTCGAGTTGGTACCCAGCCCAGGCAGCCTGAACCGGAAGCATGGCATTGGGAGCATCAGCCATGCAGGCTTGGGGAGGACCAGAGAGGATGAGTAGTCCACCTCGATGCATGCGAAGAGAGCAAGTGACCTCTGAACCCTGCACTTGCCACCCCCAGACTAATGTCCAGCACTGGCCAGAAAGATCCTCCCGTGGTCAGCGCCCAGGGCATCCTCCCGTCCACCCCCACGTGGTGTCTGCACCCTCTAAAGCCAGAGACTTGGTTTTACAAGGCAGGGTGCACCCACCCCCACGTTTGTCAGTTCCCACATACAGGGAGGCCTGGGAGACTATAGGGAGACAGGATTATTTCCTAGCTTTGTCCATAACCTGCTGGACAGCCCTTGGCACAGCCTGAGCCCTTGACTGTAGTGTGATGAAGAAGGCCCCTGTTCAAGACTCATGTCCTCATTTCAGCTCTTCTCTGTCCACAGACAACCTCTTGGTCCTCACTGTGGCCACAAAAGAGACTGAGGGCTTCCGCCGCTTCAAGCGATCAGCCCAGTTCTTCAACTACAAGATCCAGGTGAGCGCTGCCTTGGTGAGGCAGAGACTGTGTGTGGTGTGGGGGCCCAGGGGCTATGGCCTCTCCTTCCCACAGCTAGGGCTCTTGGGACAGACCAAGAGGAGGCTTCCTGGATGCTGAAGAGTGAGTATGCCTTAGGATGAAGGGCGGCGTGTGAGCAGATTCTAGGAGGCTAGAGAGGTTCAGGGTAGTACCCAGATGGTAGCATCTAGAGGTCTTGTATGGAAGGCTAGTGTAGGCAGGACCTGGGAACCAGCATTCCCACAATCCCCTGGGGCATCTTGGAGACCCTCTCTGGGCAGTTCATGGGGCCCACCCCTCCCTCAGTGGACCATTCTGAGTACTACTCCATCAGGCACAGTGTTGGGCACTGGGGACAGAGATGTACTCAACACTGGCCTCATCATGGCCTACAGAGAGCTAGGTATGAAACCAGGAAGAAAATGTATTGGCTGCTGTGGATCCTGATGCAGCAGGGTGTTGTTTCAGGCATGGCTGGATCCAGGGTCGTAAGCAGCAAAGGGCTTTCTTTTTCCATCTCCAGAGACAGGCTCTCTGTATTGTGTTAAGGTAACTCTAGTCCCAGACTCCTGCACCCCTACTTTTCAACCTTAGCTGATCATGACAGCCTTGTCCTAACTTTAACAGGGCAGTCTCAGGAAGCCTCTGATAGGTCATGTTTGGGATTCATGCTCAGAGTGTCAGAAGGAGTGGGATGCTGTGAGTGCTTATGCATGGTCACATGACTGTCCCTGGCGTCATCTGGTATGGTTTTCCTACACTGGGTTGAAAGGAAGCAGAGATGTCCACTGCCCCAACTGGGTGGAAGAATATCTCTCTACCAAAGCTGGGGACCTCTCTCTGCAGTCACTGGGCCTGGGGGAGGACTGGAGCGTGGCTGGGGGACCAGCAGCAGGCGGAGGGCAGAAGGTTCGGCTGCTGAAGAAGGCTCTGGAAAAGCATGCGGACAAGGAAGACCTGGTTATTCTTTTCATTGACAGGTGGGTGTGCTGGGAATTCCTGCTTGGATCCTGGGAGTTCAGAGTGCTCTTGGGGGGTGGGGGCCCCAAAATAAGACATTTCCTGGACATCATATACAAGGGAGACTCCCTCGAGCTAAGTGTATCTAAGGTCAGGAGGCCCCAGGATATGTAGGTCAAGACTCCTCTTGGTGAAAAGGTGGGAGGTGCAAGCTGCCGAAGGTGATGGATTTGCCACATTCTAACACGACAAGGGCGTGGGTTATGGGCACCTGTGCCCAGTGTGGGCACGGAAATGTGGCAGACTGCAGCAGGTGGGGGTGTGCAGAGGGGCTCCTGATTCCCATTTCCCGTGGGCACCCTCTTGGAATCCGTCTCAGCTTCTTCCCGCTTTTGCCACAGTTATGACGTGGTGTTCGCCTCGGGGCCTCGGGAACTCTTGAAGAAGTTCCAGCAGGCCAAGAGCCGGGTGGTCTTCTCAGCGGAGGCGCTCCTCTACCCGGACCGGAGACTGGAGGCCAAGTATCCGACGGTCTCTGACGGCAAGAGGTTCCTGGGCTCTGGAGGTAAGAGGCTGTGTGCCGGTGTGGGCTCCGGTGCCTGGCATCGCTGTGGTCATGGGCTCCCAGTGCACATTGTCTCGTTGTGTACATTGCCTCGGAGGGGTGTCTTCCTCACCTTATTGAAGAGCCGTCCGGCTGTGCTGGGGAAACCTGATACCCTCTGATACTCTCACCTTCCACATCACTTCTGCTTCCCAAAGATCTCTAGAGCCCAGTAGCCAGCCTGAGCTATGGGAGACCTTGTGACAAGGAATAAATTTTAAAAAGGCAGGACTAATGAAATTGTGGCCATCGAGCCTGACGATCTTTGGTTCTCAGAATCCTCATGATGGAAGGAGAGAAGAACTCCTGCAGGTTGTCCTCTGACCTACACACACACACACACATCTCACACACCCTGACCCTCACACATACTC